CATTTCCCTGATGACTAGTGATGTTGAACATTTGTTCATGTATCTGTTGGCCATTTGTATGTCTTCCTTTGAAAAATGTCTGTTCAGCCACTTTGCCCATTTTTTAATTGGGTCATTTGTTTTTTTACTGTATAATTGCTTGAGTTCTATGTATATTCTGGATATTAGTCCCTTGTCAGATGCATAGTTGACAAAAATTTTCCCCCACTCTGTAGGTTGTCTTTTCACTCTGTTGATTGTTTCTTTTGCTGTGCAGAAGATTTTTAGTTTGATGTAGTCCCATTTGTTTTTCTTTTGCTGCTTGTGCTTTTGGGATCATGTTCTTAAAGTCTGTGCCCAGACCTACCTGCTGAAGTGTTTCACCTATATGTTCCCTTAGTAATTTTACAGTTTGGGGTCTTATGCCTACGTCTTTAATCCATTTTGAGTTGACTTTAGTGTATGGTGAGAGATGCATATGTAGTTTCATTCTTCTGCATGTGGATATCCAGTTTTCCCAGCGCCACTTGTTGAAGAGGCAATCTTTTCACCAATGTAGATGTTTGTTGCCTTTGTCTAATATCAGATGGCTATAAGCCTGAGGAGTGATTTCTGAGTTCTCAATTCTACTCCATGAAAGAGCATTTGATGGTAAAGAAATCCACATGAGGAAATGAAGAGAATCAGTAATGGTAACTACATAGGTAAATACAAAATACAGTTTACATGTACTTTTTAATTTGTAATTGGAGCAGGTTGAAAAATGGCCCCCAAATATGTTCACATTCTAATTCCAGAACCCATGAATGTTTATATAGAAAAAGGGACTTTGAAGATGTGATTAAAGACCTTGAGATGGGAAGAGTATTTCAGGTTTTCCAGGTATGTCCAATGTAATAAACATTTTCTTTTTAAGAGAGACACAGGGAGAGTCAGAGTCAGAGAAGATGGTGATAGAAGAAGAGAACACAATGATGTATTTGAGAGTGGAAGACCATAAGCCAACAAATAGAGGCAACCATGAAGCAGAAAACAGTAGCTGGGGCCGGCCCAGTGGCGCACTGGATAGTGCGCCGCTTGGGAGGCGCGGCAGCGCTGCCGC